TACACAGGTTTATGAGTCACAATTTTTTTTTCATATAGCAGGACGACTGATTTTCAGTCATTTACATTTTTAAATGGGGGCTATGCCAGAACATGGACCAATATCGAACATTCACTTATAATATCGAAAATCTATGGAAAATCATATTCAGCTGGGTTGAATTGAAATTTCCTATGGAAATCTCTATTCAGACAGGCTACATTGAAATCTTCCTATACAAATATTTATTCAGCAAGGGTGATCTGAAAATTTCCTAGGCTGAATTGAAAATTTCCTATGGAAATCTCTATTCAGCCACCCACAATGAATTGAAAATTTCCTATGGAAATTACTAATTCAGCCAGGCTGAATTTAAAATTATGTATGGTAGAATTGAAAATTTCCTAAGGAAGACTCTATTCAGACAGACTGAATTGAAAATTTCCTATGGAAATATCCACTCAACCAGGTCGAATTGAAAATTTCCTATGTGAAATCTCCATTCAGCCAGGCCGAATCGAAAATTTCCCATGGAAATCTCTATTCAGCCAGGCCGAATCGAAAATTTCCCATGGAAATTTCTACTCAGCCAGGCTGAATTTAAAATTCCCTACGGAAATCAATATTCAGCCAGGCGGAATTCGAGATTTCTTATGAAAACCTCTATCCAGCCTGCCTGAATTGAAATTTTCCTATGGAAATCTCTATTCAGCCAGGCAGAATTGGAGATTTCTTATGAAAACCTCTATACAGCCTGCCTGAATTGAAAATTTCCTATGGAAATTTCTATTAAGCCCGGCTGAATTGAAAATTTCCTATGAAAATTTCTATTCAGACTGCCTGAATTGAAAATTTCCTATGGAAATTTCTATTCTGCCAGGCAGATTTGGAGATTTCTTATGAAAATCTCTATTCAGCCAGGCTGAATTGAAAATTATGTATGGTTGAATTGAAAATTCCCTAAGAAAGTTTCTATTCAGCCTGGATGAATTGAACATTTCCTATGGAAATATCCATTCAACCAGGTCGGAATGAAAATTTCCTATGTGAAATCTCTTTTTAGCCTGGCTGAATAGAAAATTTCCTATGGAAATTTCTATTCAGCAAGACAGAATAAAAAATTTCCAATGGAAATCTCTATTCAGAACGGTAGAAAAGAAAATGCCCTATTCAGCTTGGCTGAATTAAAAATTTCCTATGAAAATCTCTATTTAGCCAGGCTGAATTGAAAATGTCCAATGGAAATCCCTATTCAGCCAGGCTGAATTGAAAATTTCCTATGAAAATCTCTATTCAGCCAGGCTGAATTGAAAATTTCCTATGAATAGAGATTCATACAGATTCAGCCAGACTGAATTGAAAATTTCCCATGGAAATCTCTATTCTGCTAGGCTGTATTGAAATGGAAATCCTATGGAAATTACTAATTCAGCCAGGCTGAATTAAAAATTTCCTTTGCAAATTACTAATTCTGCCATTCTGAATTGTCCTCATACCTGCTACAGATATTGAAACTAATTCCCATACATTTCTTTTCTTCTTCTTTCAGATACCTCAACAAAATCTCCCGCCCTTATACCCTATCCCAGTTGGGAGGCCCATAGCTTGGACGATACAGATCCAGAGCTGGTATCACCTTTTCGAGTACGTGCCGATCGTTGTGGTCGTTTGTGGGTGTTGGATTCTCGTCTCGATGGCGTTCTCGAAGATACACAAATCTTTGGCCCCGCTCAGTTGTTGGTCTACGATCTGCACAACGATGATTTGCTGAGACGCCACATCTTTCCCGCCAATCAAGTGAAGGAGAATTCGTTTTATGCCAATTTGGCCATTGAAGATACGGATTGTGATAACACCTTTGCCTATGCTGGAGATTTGGGTAATCCTGGTCTGGTGGTGTACTCATGGAAGCAGGAAGAATCATGGCGTGTTCAACATCACTTCTTCCATCCCGATCCAATGTCGGGTAATTTTAGTATTGGTGGCCACATGTTCCAATGGGATGATGGCCTGTATGGATTGTCTTTGAGCAAGGCACAGGATGATGGGTTCTCAATGCTGTATTTCCATCCTCTAACTTCGGTCATGGAATTTTCGGTGAATACTAAAATTTTGCGTAACAAAACCTTGGCCACAGAGGGGAAAATTTATCGGGAATTTAAAGTGCTGGGTTCGCGTGGCATTAATGCCCAATCGGGTGCCTCATTTTTGGATAAGGAGACAGATGTTCTATTCTACACCCTGCCGAATTTAAATGCCGTTGCTTGTTGGAAAACTACGAGTGTGGAATATAGCCCGAAGTCTCAGGGTCGTGTTTATATGCACCCCGTTGAAATGTTGTTCCCTTCGGATGTGAAAGTTGATGGGAAGCATAACTTATGGGTCCTGTCAAATCGTTTACAAGAATTTATCTATGGCGAATTATTTCCTAATTCTGTGAATTTCCGTATTCTCACAGCTACGGTGAGGGATGCCATAGCCGATACGGTGTGTGAAGAGGGTTTGATGAGAACCGTCATTGATAATTCGAATAATTTGGGCCAAGGATCAATGCCCAGAGATTTTAATGTGTACAGCAATCAGCATCATCATAATCATGATCATGCACATCATCATCACCATGGTGATCATCAAAATAGTGCCGGATCGATGTCAGTATATCCAGCTTTGCTTTGCGGAATTTCAATATTAATTTTCAAATTATTTAGATGATGGAAATCTATTTTTTAATTTAGTTTTTTTTATGATTACAACAAAGTATTTTTTGCCCTACTTTCCTGTTCATTCGAAATGTAGATTTTTAAGACCGATTTTTTTGTATAGCTTCCTAATTGTAAATACCTACATAGAATAAGTTGTTTAATTTTAGATTAGAGTTGACCAATAAATAAACAAAACCGAATGAAATACATATGGATTTTGGATATATAATTAAAATATTTTAATTCAGTTTAGCTGAATAAGATTTTCAATAGGATATTTTCAATTCAGCTTGGCTGAATAAGATTTATAATAAGAACTCTTCGATCGGGACCAGTTGAATGCAAGTTTAGCCCAGAAATGTCCAATTCAGCCCGGCTGAATGGAGGTTTCCATGGGAAATTTTCAATTCAGCCTGGTTGAATAGAGATTTCCATGGGAAATTTTCAATTCAGCCTGGCTGAATAGAGATTTCCATAGGAAATTTTCAATTCAGCCTGGCTGAATAGAGATTTCCATAGGAAATTTTAAATTCAGCCTGGCTGAATAGAGATTTCCATTGGAAATTTTCAATTCAGCCTGGCTGAATAGAGATTTCCATTGGAAATTTTCAATTCAGCCTGGCTGAATAAAGATTTCCATTGGAAATTTTCAATTCAGCCTGGCTGAATAGAGATTTCCATTGGAAATTTTCAATTCAGCCTGGCTGAATAGAGATTTCCAATAGAAATTTTCAATTCAGCCTGGCTGAATAGAGATTTCCATAGGAAATTTTGAATTCAGCCTGGCTGAATAGTAATTTTCATAGGAAATTTTCAATTCAGCCTCGCTGAATAGTAATTTCCATGGGAAATTTTCAATTCAGTCTGGCTGAATAGAGATTTCCATAGGAAATTTTCAATTCAGCCTGGCTGAATAGAGATTTCCAAAGGAAATTTTCAATTCAGCCTGGCTGAATAGAGATTTCCATAGGGAATTTTCAATTCAGCCTGGCTGAATAGAGATTTCCATGGGAAATTTTCATTTCAGCCTGGCTGAATAGAGATTTCCATTGGAATTTTTCAATTCAGCCTGGCTGAATAGTAATTTCCATAGGAAATTTTCAATTCAGCCTGGCTGAATAGTAAATTTTCAGTAGAAAATGCTATTCAGCCTGGCTGAATAGTAAATTTTCAGTAGAAAATGCTATTCAGCCTGGCTGAATAGTAAATTTTCAGTAGAAAATGCTATTCAGCCTGGCTGAATAGTAATTTCCATAGGAAATTTTCAATTCAGCCTGGCTGAATATTAATTTTCAATGGAAATTTTCAATTCAGCCTGGCTGAATAGTAATTTCCATAGGAAATTTTCAATTCAGCCTGGCTGAATAGTAATTTCCATAGGAAATTTTCAATTCAGCCTGGCTGAATAGTAATTTTCATAGGAAATTTTCAATTCAGCCTCGCTGAATAGTAATTTCCATGGGAAATTTTCAATTCAGCCTGGCTGAATAGAGATTTCCATAGGAAATTTTCAATTCAGCCTGGCTAAATAGAGATTTCCATAGGATTTTTTTTAACTTTCCATAGAAAATAATTAAAAACGATACAAAAATTTATAAAATTAAATTTATTTAATTAATAAAAATTAGCTGAATATAATATTTTAATTTACAGACATTATTTGTAGATGGTGGCAATATCTACCGTGGCATCACTCTTTTGTGAGCCCTTATCCAATTCTTCAATAGCCTTCTTGCGTTTCTCATGTTTGCTTTGCATTTTCCTGATGACCCCACCACACAAGAGGAGTGCTATCTGTAGAACAAAGAATTTCTGGTCAAGATATGAGGTCTTTTATATATTGAGACCCGAACTTACCTGCTCCAATATGCCAATTAGTCCCAAAACGGATAGGCCCAATAGGAAACCCAAAGAACCACCAACATCGGCAATAAATTGCGTGGTGTCATAACTGGGACGTTCTTCCATCATCTGGAAATATATATTTTTTATCAATTCAGGCCAGCTGAATTAGAATTTCTATAGGAAATTTTCAATTTAGCCTAGCTGAATTAGGATTTCTATAGGAAATTTCCAATTCAGCCTAGCTGAATTAGGATTTCTATAGGAAATTTTCAATTCAGCCTAGCTGAATTAGATTTTCTATAGGAAATTTTCAATTCAGCCTAGCTGAATTAGAATTTTTATAGGAAATTTTCTATTCAGCCTAGCTGAATTAGAATTTCTATAGGAAATTTTCAATTCAGCCCAGCTGAATTAGAATTTTTATAGGAATTTTTTAATTCAGCTTGGCTGAATTAGAATTTTTATACGAAATTTTTTATTCCATTTCTATTTTTTAAAGGAATTTTCAATTCAAGCAGCCTGATTTAGTAATTTTTATTGGAATGTTTCAATTCCGCCTGGATGAATTTAATATATTTTTCAGATCTTCTTACCGATATCAACTTCGTTGTATAGTATATATAAATCTGACTACTGGGCTCAATATTTTTGGTGAAATTTTTCCGATTCTGTATATAGGTGGAAAAAATACGCGATTCACAGGGCTGTTCACAATCGCATTCCGGATCATCATCGCTCTCATAAACTCTGTAAGCGAGAAGAGGACGTCAGGTAAAAAAAGTGATAACAAAAGAGTGGCAGCTGGTTCATACCTTCCATATTCTCCAATCAGTTTCATTATCGATTTGTAGGAATTGCAGGGCTCCATTTTGTGATCATTTTTCAGCCAAGGTCCGGAACAATTGGCATATTTCCCAACAGAGTCCAATATGCAATTTTCGCCGCACTGTAAAAAAGTTAAAAAAAAAATAAACTAGCGGATCCGTCATCGTTGGATGTGATCCTCAGGGGATATGGGCAAATTTGTGTTAAAATTTCAGAGATTTCAGAACAGACCTTCGGACTATTTAGGGCATAGCAAAACATATTTGGTTACCGACAATATGTCCGTAACTAGAACTGTTCTTGAGAGTGACCCCTACAAATCCACCATTCCTCGGTCCTCAAAACTCACCTTCAATTCACTGTAATTTTCATCCTTGTTACAGTATTGATATTTAGTTTCAATATTCGAAAAGTATTGACTCTGCAGTTTAATTTCAATTTCTTCATCGATATCGACGAAAACATATTCCACCCTGCCAGAGGCCTTCATACTAACTTCAGTGAAATTTTCCTTTGGATCATGGATATATACATGCCACCCTGGCCGAGTTTCATATTTATCCAAATCCACGTCACTTTTTGGAACATGATGTTGCAACATTATCGAATATCCGGAATTTTTGGTAGCTCTTCGTAGGGCAACCTTTGGTCGTATCGTGTGGCATCGTCCACGAAAGAATTGTGTATTACTGGTGATCTCAACATCTAGAAATAGAGAGAGAGAGGAAGACAGAAAGATTTTATATTTACCGATTTTGCGGAGTTTCGGTATACGGACCCCCGATTATGTGCACTGCTTGCTTGCGGATTTTCCACAGGTTTATATTCGTATTCACTTCTTTACTTACTCGATTTAAAAGAATTCAGCCCATATTGATCATTGTAAAAGGTCTCACTGATATTGAATGTTGAATTTATAAAGAATTCCGAAATTGGCACCTCATCATAGGGATATAAATTCCAACAGGAACTATATTTGGGATGGGTACAATTATTACCGGATATTTCCTAGAAAAAAATTTGGAAAATAGATAAAATTAGTAAAGCTAAAGCGATACGATCTTTTTCGGTTCGCTCCCTTTTAATTCAATATTTCATGGGTCTATGTAGGGTTGATGAATGATTGAACTAGGTAAGCGAGATATGCAAAGTATCTCGATTGGATCGAAAGGAACTAGATGAATGAAATAATCAGAACTGGTACCGATCGTTCCTTTTGCAGAAGTATTCCTTAAAATTATATCGTTACGGAACAACACAAAAAAAATAAAAATACTCAATCCTTTCTTTGCACACATTGTGAGGCGTCTTATTGAGTTGGGCAATCACGTTGCCTCCGTAGAAGGAACTAGGCATTCATTTAGTTCCATAGTTCCTTGTAATTCAATCGTTCATTGGTACACGCCAGTTAATTCGAGAACAATGAACGGGAAGATTTAGATGAACGAATGAATTAAAAAGAACGAGGTAAGCGAGAGATAAAATATACGATTGGAACTAAATGAACTAGATGAGAAAAAGAAGTGGATCTAGTGGATGTTGTTTCTTTGCTGAGTACATGAACTAGTTCAGTTCAAATCATTGCACCAAAGATGACCGAAAGAGCTAAAACTAGTTCCGATTGTTCATTTTGCAGAATAGTTTCTTTGAACTCGTTTTTTCCGGATCGAAAAAACTTCAGTTAAAATACATTCTGCACATGGAAAATCAGGAGGAACATAAATTTTCCCAGATTAAACTTGGTTATTTAGTTATATGGATCCATGTAGTTCATTCGTTCATCGGTTCACGTCCGTTAAATCGGTCAATAAACTGAAGTTGTAGAGGAATGTCTTGATCAAACGTATATAGGTACGTGAGAGATAAAAAGTAGGAATGGAGCAAAGGGAACCAGATGAACGAATGAACTGAACCTAGTTCCTATAGCTCCAGCAGCAATAAGAGATCGTAATGGTAGGCTATTAACAAACACTGATGAACAAATTTAAAGATGGAGGGAACATTTCGAAGAAATCTATAACGTCGTAAATGTCACTAAAAATACGAAAGGTACAATTTCACTTCAATGGAAAATACGCCGAATATCTCGTGGAGCCTTAAAGCTTAGATGAATTAGGAGATGCAATAGATTAACTAAAAAGTAAGAAAGCCGCATGAGCAGGTGGTTTACCGACGAAAGCTCTAAAACCCGTTGCGTTTTATCAGCTTGGGGTGAAGCAAGACTGTCTCCAACGTTAAAGCAAGATATCGTTGTGAAGTTACCCACAAATTGCGATTAGAGAGATTGCAACAACTGAAGAGGAATAACCCTGTTCAATATCATATACAAAATCCTTGCATTCATTATACAGAGAACAATCGGATACCCGTTGATTATTTAGATACATATTTGCTAAACAGGAGGAGTTTGGTGCACCATTTATTTCCAATCGGACGAAAATATTTTTTAAAAAGCTATATCGAAATCTAAGCCGATTTCATCGAAACTTGTCACAGAATATCGGCCACATTTTGAGTTC